CTCCGGAAACCTTCGAAAGGCTGCCTACTTACAACGGTCTCCACTTTCTTCTCGGCCTCGTCGAATACGGACAGAATATCGCGGAACATGTTTTCGCCTTCAACCTGGAATTAATCGTTGCTCAGAAAACCTGTGTAGTAAGGAGGTAGCAAGGTAAGTCATAGGAAGCTCAGAGGTCTGTCTCACCTGTTTGATCTCAGCCACCTTGACAGTAGTCATCGGTGAAGCAGTGGTCGTCGACATTTCGTTGATTTTCTTCAGATTCTCCTGGAAGATCGCGTCATGGTCATAGTTTCCGGGGGTTTCCGGTGTCGGTGTGATAGCGGTCCCTAAAGTTGTGGAGATTTCAATTACTAACTGACAACAACTTCGAAATCATGACAACAACTTCGAAATCATGAACTATGTACAGAATCCAAAGCAAGCAACTCACAAATAGGTCTTGAAGGGACATTGAACTCCATGAACTGGGACCTTCTCTGCAAATATAGAGCAGTTAGTCCAATGTTCTTATATTTAGTTCCCTAAAGTTCATATCCAAAGCTCAATCGTTGGTAAAGGTTTAGAATCCAAAAATTGGAACTAGGAGAAGTGCTCGTCTAGCGTTCTCATAGTCTTTTTCGCCAAACTTTTTTGGCTGGTCTTTCCTCGCTAGGTGGCCTTTTTCGGTTGGTCTTTCCTCATCAGGTGGATCGGTATGGGTCATGGGTGACCTATTTGCGAAGGAGTAGGTAGAGCAGGCAGTGCTGCCAGCTGCACTATTTTGATCGTATCTAATATGATTATGATTTTAAGCCATTTGCTCCTTGACGGCAAAGGTCGCGATCGAGTCGGTGTGTTACTTGGTTCGAAAATAAGGCAAAAAGTTTGAAGGGAACGTCAGTGGTAAGAAAAAACAAGAGAAGCTTCATACAAAGCGCTGAAATTTCCCCTTTGAAGTCGAGCCTGGCACGGCGGAGAAAGAGAGCGCTGCAAGAGGAGGTAAGACGCTAGAGAGCACGTCGTAGCAAGAGAGCGCAGACGCCACGTATGGTGCTACTGACTAGAATCGCAGCATTCGCAGCGGTCGAGGCGGCAAAGGCTATAGCTCTATTGTAGCGCACCTTCAGGTCACAACAGCACTACCATCCCTGTGAGAATAGAGGGCCTCGCTATCTCGGTTAAGGAGAGGCCTTCTTAAGGATCTTATTGCGACCCGTGCCTTTGAGCTTTTCAACGTCCCACCTGCATCTCCTGATAGATTTTGTCGTGCATGCCCATCTCCGGTGCAGGTGGTACGGTCGGTTGTTGCATGGAGAGAATTTGAGCCGGTGACGCGTCATGTGGTCTGGTCAGCACCTTAAAAAAGACAGTGTCCCCAGTGAAACATTGTGAATGCCCTTCAATTGCCGTGGCAGAACCCTTTTTTGGAATATTACAGTCATTCGAGTGGATTACGGTAATGGAAGCATCTATTCATGAACGTTTTTCTTACTTTCACGATTGAATGCATACTGCGGTTCCGTAGTGTTCACTTTTTAGCGTAAAATCGATTTCCTTCGTGCAGGCTAGCTCTGTTTTTGTACTCCGCTATACTGTACTCTACCGTAGCCTCAGACAACGTTAAGTAAAACTCACCTTGTTGTTGTTGTTGTTGTGGTTGCTGTTGTTGTTGTTGTGTTGAGTGTGTTGTTGACCACTGCGTGCTGAATACCCACGAATCGCTCCACTTTCCGAATGGATTTCTTGATTGCTAGTGTTCTACGCTCTACACCTATATTATAAGAAACTTCCGCCACTTGATATAATTTTTTAGTTTCTCATTAGCTATCACATAAGCCAAATCCTATACGTACCATTTATGAGGGCTCAGGTCCCCGCTATTGCGGCTTGCGTGGTACGCTCGAAGCATAATTAAGGTCTCGCATGTGTGTACCCGCGTCGCAACGCCCGCGCCAGTGTCTATGAATTCACCCAGAGAAGTGGGATTTTCACAATTTTCCACCCTAATTTTGGATTTTTTAGGTTGAATCCTACCTGATTCTGATACATCTGTTGCTGTTGCAGATAGTACTGTTGCTGTTGCTGCTGTTGTGGCTGCTGCTGGGGTAGAAGTAGAACTGCTGAGGGTAGCGAGGATGTTGGAAGTTCTGCTGAAATCGATAGTTCTGCCATGCAAACCTTTATTTCTACCCGTTCTCTCTTTTGACTCAATTTCCCGCTCTCTATTTTCACCCTTGTATCTTTGAGCGCTACCCGCTATCCCTCTCTCTGCTTTATTGACCTACTCTCACTTTCTACTCGGACGCATCGGGCACGGCACTACATTCAGATACCCCTTTCCTAGAAGCCTTATCTACTTTGTAGGGCAGGTACTCCCTTCACACGGCAAAAGAGTGCCGGAGTGCAGACCATCCACGCAATTGAACGACGGCCTCCACGACAATTAAAGGTTGCTGCAATGACTATTAACCTCTGCATTGGTATCTTATCGGTGTCACTCCTACAGCCATCATTTACCAAAACAGCTATCACTGATGAACCCACTAACTAACCAGATTACTTGGAGCCGTCACTGTGTGTAATGTCTATGCACCCGACCTCTTTCGTTTTTTTGAACAGGGATCATCTGTCTAGAAGAGCGCGTACTGCTGACACTCGGTCCGTTCTCGGATAGGAGCCTCAGGACTTAACTCTCAAGCCTCCATATTGAGTAGTTGAAAGAGGTGAGGGCAAGGCGACGCCTACGCAATCATGCAGTTTCCTGAGGAATTGGTTAACAGAAGTAACCGGCGTTGACAGTCCATTGACCGGTTAAACACAATACCATATACGATCCTTTCTTGTGATGCCACGGTATTTGGAACGGTTACCCTACCCCAGAGAAGAGCTCAAGCAACGGGATCGATAAGCTAAAAGAGACAATTTTCCTCATTTTCAGTAAATCAACCAGTCCTTCAGCACCCCTCGCGACAGCTCCACACATAAAACTTTGAATAAAAACTGATGAACCCTTCATTTCCTATGGCTCATAAGGCTCTGTTGATGTACAGTCTATATGTGGGTCCCTAAACCTCGGTAGAACTCCCATGACACACATTGACCCTGGTGGAGTGAGAGGGTCGGTTACATGGCGTAGGTCGAGCGCGATCCCATGAGCTAAATAAGATTCGGCGCTCTTGACCACTGCGCTAATTCCCCCGTAGAAATGGAAAATTCTTTTACCTGCTGCTGTTGCTGGTGACGTGCCCACCAAGCCTGCTGCTGCTGTTGTTGCATTTGCTGCTGTTGTTGTTGCTGCATCTGCTGTTGTTGGAGCATCTGGAATGCGTTCCCAGTTGGCTCGTTGTGCCTGCTCCCATTGAGCTCGCTGCACTTCGGCCTGGTACTCCTCCATAGCACGGGCTCGTTGCACTTGTTCCCAGCGAGCCTGAGCGATTGCACGAGCCAGTTGTTCTTCCTGGGCTGCTCGTTGCTGTTGCTCTGCCTACAATAAAGGATTTTGGCCAATAAGTTCTGGTTATTCGTGGAGCGAGTACCCTGTAAAGCTACCGTACCTGTGCCCATTCGGCTCTCGCCATTGCCTCTCTCATCATTTGCTGTTCATAGATAGCTTGTTGCAGACGACGCCATCTCCACTGACGAATAGCCTATAAGAAGACGAGTGGTACTGATGAACGACGGATAACTCGTCCACAAAAATCCTGCTAAGAAACTCGTCCAAACCTGAGCTCGCTCCATCTGTCTGGCCTGGAGAACCCACATCGGCGGAGGCATCGCTGGACGATTGTTGTACGCGTCATAAGGAATCTAGAATTTATCTATCCTTGATAAATGAAAACATATACTGTTGGTAATGTAAATGAAGAATTTTCTTGATATTTCATCTAGGGAATAATATCAATAGCTCGTGAAGACTCGTGTATCTCGTTCAGTATCTAAAAATC